TAGTTATATCTACACAAAGCTTCCTGAAGTTTCAAAAAATACAACTGCCAAATGAGTCCCTTACTTTCTCAAGAATATTAGAAAGAAGAACTTGGATTTTTGTCCAAAAGCACGGTAATGCAAATGAAAAGATTACTATAATAACTTCTGAAAGGGAAATCATCTTTAATAACTTTCAGTCTCATGGCACCTAGCAGAGACTAGACTTTCAATATGCACAAATTAATATACTACAAAAGATAACAATACAAATAAATAAAAATGAATCCAAAATAGTTTTATCCCTTAAAGAAACACAGGTCTAAAATTTCTTTCTATACAGAGGCCTGAAAATAAGAGAACACAACTTATATATTCATTTATATAGCTAAGTACTCATAAAGTTAAATTTTGTAACTAAAAAAGAATTACATTTAGGGCTAGTGGGGCACAGGTGGCAGTCTAGCTATTTGCAATACTGAAAAAGAGATATAGCCTACCAATCAGGATTCAGATCCCAGGTTTTTGTTTTGTTTTGGCTACTTTTTTTTTTGGGGGGGGGGGGGATTTTTGCTATAGGGCACATGCACTTGCCAGAAAGACAGAAAGAGACAGAGAGACAGAGAGAAATCAACCCCTGAGGGGATGGACATGCCGCAATCCCTTCTCCTTCATTCTCCTCTTGGGATCTTGGGCACAAACCCCCACACGTCCAATGTGAATTTAAGCCACCCGGTCCAGGACTCAAACCACTGTCGACTACATGGGAGTCCAGCGATATACCCATTACACCATCTGCTGGTCCTTGTTTTTGATTTTTAAGAGAGACATTTTCCTATGGGGCATGTATTCACTGGAGAGACAGAGAGAGAAAAGTGATAAATCACCCCCAAGGAGGGAAACATATCAGGAACACTACATATGACCCTGGCTGGCTTAAAGGATAGAGGAAGGAACCCCATTGTGATGTGATCCTGTCATGGATGACTGGCTATCTCTCTGTGCCTCTCTCTCACTCTTTTCTCTCATGAAAAAAATTAACAGAAAAATATTACATTTACCTGACATTAAATAATTTCATAAAATGCTCCACAAAATTTAGGAAAAAAATTTTATACCCACACTCCTATATGCAGTGCTTATCTTGTTATAATTAAAGAGTCATAATCTTGAGATATATTCTTGAAATACATGTTTCTTCTTATGGCAGCACTCAGAGATTTTAAAAAGTTTTTAAAAAGACAGTTTTCAAATATGATTTATGCCATTTTGTAAAGTACACAGTTATGTAAATATTATTCAGAGCAAGGAAGATTATTACCAGCTGAGTATAATCATTCTCCTTACAAAAACAGAAAATATCTATTATCAGGTGAGCTAAAATGAATTATTTACAGAAACGTCTAATTTAAGAAACACAACAAAACAGAAATTGAAGAGACTTAGCAATGTACATTAAAGTACATACCCATTCAAGACACTACTGGTTACCTACCAGGTGAAAAGCATCATGCTAAGTGCAGACAAACAAAAAGTAAAACATTCAGTTGTCAATGCTGGTTACAAATTTACGACCATTGTACGATAAGATTTAAAAAGTTAGATGAGGGACCACCAGGTGGTGTGGTAGTTAAGACACTGGACACTCCCACATGGCTGACCACAATTTGTCCAGACGTGATGGCTTACTTTCTCTTTCTCTCTGGTACAATTAAAATAAATGAATAAATGAACTTAATTCTTTTTTTAAAAATTTAGATGAGAGACTAAAAGGAACTAAGATCAAATATCAGATTTTTCACTTGAACAAGAAGTAAATTCTATGGAGAGATTACATTCAACTCTTCTGAAGACACTGTCAGCCAATGTAATTAGTGTTGTGTAGTATACTTTTTACTACAGGAAGTTAATTGGATTCTTGAAATAATAAGAAAAGAAACAGTAGCAGTGGAGTGGCAACTTCTCACTCATTCATTGCCTCCAGCTAGTTTAGGAAATTAAGACTAAATGACCACTCCAGTCAGTTCTCTAGATCTGCAGTTCTTCATTAATTTAAGAAAATACGAAAGCTGAGGTAGCAACAGATGATGTAATAGTTACACTGGGTTCCCATGCAACAGACCATGGTTTGAGTACCAGACTAGGAGCTTAAAACTTGGGGGACCAGAAGTTAGCGTAATGGCTATCTCACTGGACTCCCATGTAGTTGGCCGCAGTTCCGAGTCCCAGACCCGGTGTTTTAAACTCACCCCGGGCATATGTGCATGCGTGCCCAAGATCCCGAGAGCAGAAGGGATTGCGGAGTGACCATCCCCCCTGGGGGGTGATTTCTCAAAATCCCAAGAGGAGATTGGAGAAGAAGGTATTGCAGTGTGGCCCTCCCCCCAGAGTATGATTTCTCCCTTTCTGTTTCTATGTTTCTTACCATACATACCTTAAATGATTGTTATAAGAATTAAAGATGATGCATATAAAATGCTTAGTGTAATTCCTGACACATTAAGCATTCAGTGAATTCATTTATTTACCATTCATTAAGAAATTATATAGTACCTAGAAATGAATAACATTTCATTAATTTGTTAAGTATTAATGAATACAGCAACTTTGCAACAGTGTCATGAGAATATAACAGGGGAATCTACCCCAACTGAGAAAGTCTAGTCTAAATTTAGCCAGATGACAAACGGAAGAATGGAATGGAATGGAATGGAAAGGAAGAGCAATTCCAGGTAGAGGAATTCTCATAAGCAAAAGCCATATACCTGTAACAGGAGAACAGAAAAGAGGGCACAGTGACTAGAAGTGAGAGAATACCAGAAAGTATTCTGGAGCTGAGGATGGAAAAACAATCAGGGCTCATCCACACAGGGCCTTGTGGAGCATGTCAACGATTTCCATTTATCTTAAAGAACAATGAGAAGCCACTGAAGGATTTTAAACATACAGGCTATGTGATTTTGGAAAAGTTACTTAATCTGGAAACTACAGAGGAAGTCACAGCAGATGCATGTAGACCATAATCAAAAGGCTACTAAAGCAGTCCAGATGAGAGATGATGGTGGCTGGAACTAGAGGACTAGTGTTAAAGACAAAAAGAAAACGAGATTTAAGAGATATTCAACAGAAATTCATCAGACCTGGAGTATGAGGAAACAGTCAAGTTTCCTGTAAAAAGAGATGGATGGTGACACACACTCACAAAGTTAAACACTGTAAGAGAACCTATTTTTTTTCCCTTGAGGTAGGAGGATAGATCACAAATTTCAAATACGTGAGTATGATTAGTTATTTCCAATTACAGGGTTGATTGGTACAGAAATATTCTGTTGTATAAAAGCACAATGAGTTCATCTTTATTTCTGGGAGTGTATAATAGATATTAGAGACAAAGAACAGGTTTCTGCATGTGTAGAAAGCATTTATGACAAAATGAAATCCCATATCTTCTCTTAGGTTCCTTTCCTTTACATAATGACCCCAAATCACACTTTAAGACTTCAGTTTAATGTTGCCTCCAGAAGTAATTTATACTCAGCTGTAAGTCATTCTGAACTATTTTTTAATTAGACTTATTAAGACAGAAAGCTAAACAAGTAAAAAGCCTGTGAAGTCGAAAATGAATCTTCACTCACCTGACTTTCTTGCCATCAATAGAAACAGTAGGGTTCTACAGTGACAGGCTTGTTCGAGCAATTTCATTAAACCATTAATTTTCCAGAATGGAAACATGCTACTTAGAAAACTTCTTAATCATGTAACACTTTTTTAAGTGTCATCGGATAATTTCTGAATGTGATGTTCAAAAAACGAGTTGGCAACTTACAATTAAGTCAGTATTGGCATTGCGCTTTCAAGCCGCTTGCCTCTAGAGCCTTATTAAGCCTGTTAGAGGGGCAGATGTGAGACTACTGGTCTTCTTAACTATTTAACCATACATACTTCTGTGTTCAAATCGGATCCCAAGTAGTTTTTGCAAGCTTTATCGCATCCTTTCCCTCCCGCTTACCAAAAAACAAGGGTGCAGAAGTCAACGATGGGTCTTTTAACAAAACACCTGCCCCACCCACCTCACACACAATAACCTTCCATGCAGAACTGTAGCTACAGTCACAGGAGGACGCCGTGGGGGTAAGGCCAGGTTACCGAAACCGGACCTCAGAATTGAGGGGAGCCGTCTCACCCAGTCCCGCTGTAGTATCCAGTTTCCCAAAAGGGAACCAAGATCTCCACCACAGAAACTCGAGCACACGAGCCGGCACTGGGGACCCTCCCCCTGGCAGACGACTCGGGTCCCGGGTCTCCAGTCGCCTGGAGGCCTCTTCTGAGAACCCGGGCCTCTCGGATGCGCTCCCCGGAGCTCGCGGCTCTCCCCACTTCGTGCGGGTGCGCCAGCTGCCCCGCCGGCCCGTCAGGCCCGTCACCAGGCAACAGTCGCCAACCTGGGCGACCCGGGGAGGCCTAGCCCGGACTCAAGTCCTTCCCCATTCCTTCCTGGCTGGCCGTGGGAGCCTAGGCAAGAGCGCGGCGGGTGAAGGAGGTCGCTCGGGGCTGGCGACGGGTCACTCACCTCTTCCCTCTTCCTGGAAGGGGCGGTACAGGGGCTCGTTTTCTCCGCCCCCGAAACGCCGCCCGGCAGTTTCTGCCCAGCCTCCGCTCCTGGCCGCGGCAGCCGGCTTACTCCATAGCCTTCACCACCCTCGCAGCCGCAAAGACTGGAGCTGGAGAAGGGAAGAGGGAAGGGAGGGGAGGGACTGGGGATCAACAGTAAGGGGAGGAACAGAAGACTAAAAGACCTGCCGGCCACGGCATGACGTCTGTCTCCTAGTCCAGGGAAGAACAGGCCGATTTTCGTGAGCCCTAGAAGTTGCTTCTGCCGGAAAAGGAGGGCAGGTTAGCGCTGTCTCTACTAGCTAAATGCATAGTGACGGTCGGGGGGAAGCCGAGGAGAGGGGTGATTTGGACTCTGCTCCTCAGGGTCCTGGCC